CTTCAGCTGCAGATATGACTTTCAATTTCCATTCGTTCCAGGCTTAATTTTCATTTAAGTGTTGGGGGTTCCAATCTTCTAATTTATGTTTTAATTCATTTTGGAAGGGCTCCCAATTTTTATCCTTAGTCATGTTCCAGTATAATTTATCTGCTTTAGTATGCTTGAAATTGTGATTATTGGGTGTGTACCAATATGGTACAACCCAAGTTCATCAATTATATATTCGTGTGTAACATCATATACATTACACTTTTCTGGGTTTTTAAAAAAACCAAGTATTGTACCTGTGCATTTATCACTTCCGTTAAGCATAGTTAGTTCTCCGTCATCACACAGATCAATTAAGCCTTTGCTACGGAAGCTTAAAGTGACCTTCCGCGTTTCCGAGTTTCCAAGATAATTATCATGGAAACATGGAATAAATACTTTTTAAGACGTCTTTCCGAGATAATTTATCTCGGAAAGACGGATTTCCGAGATAATTTATCTTGGAAAGACGGAATTCCAAGATAATTTATGTTGGAAAGACGGAATTCCAAGATAATGTATCTTGGAAAGACGTCTTTCTAAGATAATTTATCTTGGAATTCCGTCTTTCCAGTATAATTTATCTAGGAAAGACGGAATTCCAAGATAACGTATCTTGGAAAGACGGAAGTCCAAGATAAATTATCTTGGAAAGACGTCTTTCCAAGATATGTTATCTTGGAAAGACGGAATTCCAAGATAACATCGAGGAGACGAAATTCAAAATTCAAAGATAGTCTGAAAGCTGTAGTAATTATAAGGAAAGTTGAGCTACCTGTAACTTACCAATGGATAGGCCTATATTCAATTTGTTCAAGTTCAAAGTTGTGAGTGAATATTGTTGTATTTCATTTTGTGTTGTTCTGTATTTTCACGCATTGTTCTGTATGTACGCATCAACATCAGCTTATTAAAACGCATGAAAAATAGGCCTACGTTAATTTTTAATGTATAAAAATTAATTTCGTTTTTTTTGTGCCCAAATTTGTTTACAAAAACGTAATGCAATAATAGCATATTTACTACTATTGTATATTTTCGGAAAATATTTCAGCCGCTCTAAATCTCTTTCCTATTCTTCCTTTATTCTTTCACAATTTTGCGTTTTAATCATATTTTTCATAATTTTATACATTCACATATAGTAAATTGTTTAGGCCTAGACTAGGCTATACCTCAGCTTG